GCCCCCACATGTCTACGTCACGATGTGGGAAGATTTGCATAACGCCGCCCAAATGTTCACACAAAGAAAGAAGGCATAACTTTTATTCTCGCTGTAGTATTGTTGCTGCCGCCGCCGCCATGTCGTGAAGGCGCTGTGTGTTTCATTGTGAAAGCTAAACTACTTTGTTTGGCCTTCCAAAAGAGGACGATATCCGCTTCGTCATGCCTGGAGCTGATCCGTGCTGGTTGCTGAGGAAATACATCAACTTGGCTTTCACCGTGGACGAAGCGGAGTCCAGCCCGGGGTCGTCACATGTGGTTGCCGCAAGCCCGCCGGCCGCGCCGTTCTCACGCCCACTCGCCGCCGCTCACTCAAGCTGGCCTCCACTCACTCTAGCCCGCTGTGTGTGACACTGTGTGTTTCGCTGCGAAAGCGAAACTACTTTGTTAGTGGTTAAGTTGTATTTAAAACACTGTTCCAGAACAGTTCAACCCAAATATTCAGATGTGTGCAACGCATTTTATGGAGAACTGTTTCCTGATCCTGGTAGAGTAGACTACAATGCCGGCTGTTCTGACTCACAGACTGTAAGTACGTTTTTTAAATTGAAAGAATTTGCCACTGATGAATCAAACGTGAGTTTTGAGCAGTGTAGAGTAAATAATGTGTTTTTTGAACCTTAAACCGCATAAACACATTTCATTACACCAAATACACAAAATATTGTTCTTTTTAGCAACATCATATGACCCCTTTAACCCTTCCTCAGTGCCATGTGCTACCAAGCAACACCTGCGCTCATTAAAACGTATTACCGTAATATACCTAATGTCACGAAGATACAGCAAAAACACGTAGGCCTATATATCTCAAAACATATAATCAAATACAGCAAAAACATTTATAAATCATCAAAAGAAATCCATATATAACTACATAACAAAAACAAAAATATACACACAAATATATATCAGTAATATAATCTCATAACTCCAACACAAGTTTTAAACATCAGTTTCTATATATAATAAATAGACGTCATACCAAAATACTCGTTCAGGTTTCTATCCTTTAAATTATTATAAAAAACAATTTTGATTATATGTTTTGATATATACATGTTTTTGCTGTATCTTCGTGACATTAGTATATTACGGTAATACATGTTTAAATGAGCGCAAGTGTTGCTTGGTAGCACATGGCACTGAGGAAGGGTTAATACCCGAAAACGTTCTGCACCTTTGCAAATAGCACTGAGGAAGGGTTAATACCCGAAAACGTTTGCACATTTGCACTTATTTTGTACATTTTTTTTTTTTTTTTTACCCCTGAGCAATAAATGTTATAAGCCTTTTTGGCTGAATTTGGACGAGTGCGGATCTCTTTCATCTTCATATTTTTGTATATTTTGGATCTACGCACCCTATGTTATTTGCCTACTGGATATTTGGACGAGTGTTTGGCACAACAACCATTTCTAATTGTGGATTTAAATTTAATTCTGAAACAAGTAGTAACATTTAAAAAAAAGGCTAGACAAATGTCTAACTAAAGAAACCATTTCATTAAAAAATTTCAAGAACATTTTTGAATAACATAAATGTTACATAAAAAAAAAATAATAGTAATTATCCAATGTCCAACTATAACATTAAAAAACTTCCATGACGTATAAATAATGATTTTGTGCACAAAATTGAGAACATTATTAAAGACCAGATAATGTTGAACAAACATTCTGTTAACATTACTAGAAGATGTTTGTTGAGAACCTTGCCACAATGTTCTGAGGAGTCCAAACCAGCACCATCACCAGGCACCATTGGTTCATGAGAAAAGACATCTTATTGTCTGTGCACGTCTACAGCTTTCTCTCACACACACACACATTTCTATTCTTTCAGAGACATTTTACTACCCAGCTTTATCATCAACTGTCTGGGGCTTTTCATTTTCTTCAAGCATGCCCTGACATTCACTGTGATATTAGCCTCAAGCTGCATGTGCTTTTCAAGCTGATCTATGACCTTGTGAAGGTGTTTCCATGTTATGTTAATAACCTGTTGCTTTTCCATTCCACAGTCCATTTTCTAGCATTGTTGTTTATGAGTAAACATCACTGGGAATACAGTAGTGTTCTACCGCTGATGATAGCCGGATTTTAGAAAAGTCTGTTAAAAATGAGTGCCAAATGTCACGCAAAACATTTCAAATGAATCTGGATTTCAAGTAATGATGGAATGAAATTGCGATGCCTGACAAGATGCCTTTTTATAGCTAATAATATGTAATAGCCAAAAACACATTTTCACAACATATTACATTGAATCAACATTTCTTGGCATGTTGGAATTGCATTTTTCCATGTGCTGCTGCTAAAGTCCTGTTCAGTCATTCCTGTCAGTGTCACATCAAGTGTAAAATGAAACTGAAGCCAAGCTTTAAGAAGGCGCAGCCTTGTGCTGGCATGACATTTCATCTAATAGAATTTAAAGCAGGACAAGACACATCTAGAATACGAAACAAAAAATTAAGAGAGGTGCAGATCTCATATCTAAGGATGACCTCTCAAATAATATGCTGCAATATGCCAAGTGGGTTGAGAAAAAGAAGATTGAACACATTGTAAGAAGAGAATTCCAAGATAAAAGTTAGGTATTTTCTAGCCTTAAGAGAAAATGTAGTTGTAGCATGTGTGAAGGCAGACCGTGCTACAGTACAAAGCTAAATAAGGAGTATTTGAAATATAATAATCAAACAAAACCAAACAAACAATATATAACTGAATCAAGCTTTTACTTTCAATACAAGCATGTAAAATAAACCAAAATCAACCGATTTAGTAGTTTGTTTTGTTTTGATTTTTTTTGTTTTGTTTACGGATTATTTATTTTTTGGTATTATTTCATTTTTGGCTTTACTTTGATTCTTGTTTTGTTTAGTTTGTTTCTGGCATTACTCTGCTTTGATTTATTTATTTATTTTAGACTTTTTTTGGCTTTGCTTTGCTTTTTATTTTGTTTCTGGCTTTACTTTGATTTTTGTTTTATTTTGCTTTGGGCTTTGCTTTGATTTGATTGTTATTGTGGCTTTAGTGTACCTCCAGTTTAATGTTTATGCAGAAAGCATTTTTGACAATTATGATGTTACAGTCTTGTAAAGTCAAAAAATGATGATGCAGTGACAAAAAAAAAAAAGGCATTTCTTTGATATTCCCTGAACCTTGTTATTACAAAGGACACAGATAATCAATTTTTGTGACTGAAAAACTGAACATCATAAAACCATTCTTTCAGAGGCCAAACCTATTTGCTGCAAGTATTTCCCTTGCTTTCACAAATATAACAAATTAATTACTTCTGTGAACTCCAGAAAACGAATCTACTGCTTGAATGCACAAGCTAAATCTAAATTCATGCCACATATCTTTTCATCTGAAAGATACATTGAGTGAGAAGCAAAACTGACAGGGAGCGATAGCTTATCTGTAATACATGTGGACAACATTCAGCCACTGAGGAGGTGGGTGGAAAAATGGCTTATTTGACAACAGCAATTCAGAGTGCTGGCCTTTGTGTGAGTGTTCAATCTCTCACAAGCCTCATAGAAATGTTCAATTAAGAGTTTCTACAGAAATATGAGGAAAAACATGTATGCGTTTTTGCAGGCACATAAACTGGTTATACAAACACAAGACCCCGAGATTGTGCAGCTGTTTCATTGGCTTAGCTGGCTTATATCTGTACCATCACAAGACTTCAAGCTCAGATAGAAAGGTTGTCAGGTAATGTTCTGTTTAAACCCCTCAAATCACACAATCACGTCCACGACAGGTATATAAAATATCTAACATAAATATTCAACAGTTCTGTCATTTGCTTGCTTAAGAAGGCTTCTACCAGATGGCACGATTGAATTTATGCAAATAGCAACATCACTGCTTGTCTTTGTACCTCTTTAAACCATAAAGGAGACTTATGAAGCCTGCCTTATCCACTCAAAGCTTTGGAACATGGTTTATTTATACATACATTAAGTGAACAAATTGAAAAGACGAAACATCCTAAGTAGCATAATTACAAGCCGAACATATTCAACAAAAACAGGCACTATACAGTTTGGTATTTAATGCTTTGTTTAATGTTTATGACAAGAATACTACAAGTGTATTTGTAACTTTTTTTACTTCTAAATTTGACGCGTCACACTGGCAAGCTCTTTCACTTCTGTAAAAGCACAATTTCTTCCACGGCTAATGAACAAACCGCATCATTTCTTGCCAAATGAGGCAGGAGGCGAGCAATGCCTTTTCAGATGTGATCCAGAGTAACATGTCTGCATTTGAGTAATGTAGGCCTTGCTGTATTTATAATGCACTTCTCCCAGTAATGAGTGGCATGGAAAGGGCACAGCATGCCTGCTCTTTTAATTAAAACAAATGAAAGATCCATTATGACACTGAATAGTCAGACCCTCCTTCTCCTCCTCCATTTCTGCCTGGCAGTAATGTAAGAGGAGGCGGCTAAGTGGAGGGTGTAAAAGCAAAGGTAGAGCCGGTCATTCATTAGCCTGATGTACTATTCAAGTCAAGCCATTATTTTAAGTTTAATGAAAAGACGCCGACTTGAGTGACCAGGAACGTTACAAAAAGCGACTTTTAGGTGTCAAATTGGTTTATGTAACATTTCATATAATTTATTTTCAACTATGGGGAGAGTTTTGTATTTTTTTTATTTATTAATTTTTTTTTTTACATAGTAAGCATATTATGAAATTAATGAAAGTTTTTTATTAACTTATTTAGAGCTTTTTTAATCATACTGTTGTATAGTTTTGTTTAGCTACACAGCTGCAGGAGTTTCATCAAATTGACAGTCATTATCTGCCTGCAATAACAGCTACATAACAGAGCTCAAAACAACCATTAATGAAACATAACACATGAAATGTAAAGAAAAAAAGACAAAATATGATGACTCATTTGCCTCCTTAAAATGGAAAATGGAATCATATTTTAAACATTATTTAAACATTTAATTGGACTTGAAGTAGACATTATGTATTTAAGACATGTAAAAGCATGCATAATGAACACAATATGTATGCGATCTTAAACAGAGCTGGAATATTTTGTGAAAGATCAAAAGATCTAGTGGTTTGGGGCACAACAAATCGACAACATCCTGCAAGAGTGTATCTTTGAGAAGGGGGCTGTGATGCCAGCTCGGTGAGATTTGTGAGGTCCTCTGACAGATTTGGAGCCGCAGCAGTCCCAGTTAGAGCAGCTGAGAGTTGACACCTCAGGGCCGGACAATGCATAAGCATGTTCATCGTCTGTGACAGAAAAGTACTGGATAGTCACATCCTGGCCTGGTGACATCCTCCAACCCGATCTCTGGGAATGATTCGTAGCTCCGAGCCGTGTTTCAGGAACACATTTCCTGTAGAATCAGAGAGATATATTACAAACAGGTTTTTTTTTTAGTTTTATTTTAAAATGGCAAAGCAGGTTAATGCAGCACAAAAAAAAAAGAACCGTTACTTTTTCTCTTAGCAGCACAACCTGAAATGCGTCAAAATTTACATATTCAAAACACCACAAATAGGTCATTTATAAAACAATTTAAAAGCACTGGGAATAAAAGAAAGTTCATGACTTTTTGTTTTGCTTTTGGGCGTAACATGTTCCCTACTTCGACGAAGTGAATAATTAGATGCTGGAGCTACAGACAAGAAGCTGTGCAAAGGCGATGAATCGTCCTTAAGTATGTTAGTGAAGGTACGTATAGCCTCATCACGCTTTTTGGTTAATGAAGGAAGAGAAGTTGGAATACCTATTATCTGACAGCAATGTTTTTGTACCCTCTCTAACTCATAAGAGAGACCTTTAGGCAGTCCAACCCCACACTGGGCTTGCACTCAAGAATTGGCCATATGAAAGTCAAGTATATTTGCATTAAAACATTGCATGGGAGACCCGCTCTCTTTGTAGCACTAAGATAATGAATTATTGGCCGTGACTTTGAAATCATATACTTGATGTGTGCATCCCATGACAAATCAGATGTTATTTGAACGCCAAGAAGTTTAAAAGTGGAGACTCTGCTGATTACTTGTCCCGAAATTACTGGAAGAGGAGGAGAGGGGAAGTGATCATCTCTCCTAGCACTAATTACCATATACATGGTCTTAGCTCCACTCATTGCCAGTGAGAATTTCTGTCCCCACTCTGCCACTGAGTCCAAGGCCTTTTGAGTTAGGCCAAGTAAGGATCCCATTAGAAGCTCAGTGATTGTTAGATCATCTGCATTTTTCACAGGAATTATCAAAGGGGGCAGATGTAAATCCAAGCTGTTTATACTGATGACAAAAAGTAGAGGGGATAAAAGTCCCCCATGGGGAACACCAGCTGGATGTTTTAGGGGGGCGTGGCAGAGTCTTAACTTTGATAAAGAATATCTCTTTGGTTTTGAGACTTTAGTCTTTGCAACTTCAGGGATCTTATCTATGCACAGTCAGCTTGTAACACTCCAAAGAGAAAGGAAAACTTGAAATCGCATCATATGACCCCTTTAAATAGGAGTTAGACACGCAGAGACCCCTCTTCACCATTTGCTCTCTGTTAGTCAGATAGCTATTTACAATAAGCCAACGGGGGCGCCGGACATGCATATCAGCCAGAGCATAAAGTAACTGACAATGCTCAATTGTGTCAAAAGCTCGAGTAAAATCAACAAAAACAGCATGAATGTCCATTGTGGGATTGCTATTAAGTGCTTCATGCCATAATTGTAGAATCTGAATCAGAGCAATGTCAGTTGATCTGTTCGCAATAAAGCCATGTTGTGATGGAGCAATCTTGGTGACTGTATCCTCCAGAATGGCATCTCTGAGGATTCCTTCGTACATTTTTCCAACACAGCTGATTAATGAAATCTGGCGGTAATCTGCTGGAAAACTAAGTTTTGAATTGTTTGGAATAGTTTTAACCATATCCTCCTTCCATTGATTTGGAAAAATGTTATATTGAATGCATGTGTTAAAGATATCACATAGTACAGGTGCCAGTTCTTCATGAAAGGTCTTTAAGACCCACGGAGGAATGCAATCAGGACCAGCAGCCTTCAGTGCATTCACTTTGCGAAGTCTAGCTATAACTTGCCCAATACTCAGTGGAGGTATTCGACCTTCTGACAGCTTATGGACAACATCTTCCTCAGAGGGAGATGTGTGGATAACTTGATCCCATACGGAAGCAAAATGCTTAGCCAAAGTGTCACACTCATGTTGCAAGATGTTATATTTCTGAGACTTCACATCTCTCCTGTCTTCTTCCATTCCCATCAAATGCCTTTTCAGAGTTAAACCACTGCTTTGGCTTGGTGCAACATAATTCCTTCACCTCGTTCTGGTAATATTGTATCTTTGCTGTCTTCATTTTTTTTGGCAACAGTTGATTTAAAATTTGTATAGCGAGTTTTGTTACCAAAGCAGAATGCACGTTGTCGCTCTTTTATCAGATCTTTAATTTGTATGGTCATCCAAGGCTTGCCATTATTAGTAATAAACTTTCTTAAATGGAACAGTTTTGTCCAGCATAGACCTAATAGTGGAAGTAAAGTCACTAACCTTAACCTCAGGGTCAGTAACCTCATAAATATGAGAAAAGTCAGTACTATCCATGAGAAGGCTTAGTTGTCTCTTTGTCTCAGGGGTACGTTTTCTGCAGAAGATGTGTCAAATGGGCTTGGAAGGCCATTTACCAGCATTCAACATAATGATCTGATGATCAGAAGAGCTAACAGGGGGCAAGTGCTTAGGTGACTTAAACATAGATGAAATGTTGATAAAAATAGAGTCAAGTTGATTGGCCTTTCTTGTTGCTCCTGACAGTACCTGTTTCAGTCCATGTCCATTACAAATGGTTTCAGACTTGTACCTATTTGTGTCTCCAAGTATGACAATTGCAGCTTGCTGGTAGTAACATTCAATGTTGCTAAGGTAATAATCCAAGTGTAGTTAGCCTATCAGGTTGGGCCATTGCTGAAGAACGTGGTGGAATGTAGAGCACAGCAGCAATGACACAACTTAACCCTTGAGGAAGACGATTGGGTCGTAACAAGATCCACAAAGCTTCATGTGCAACATCCGCTAAATGAGCCAGTTGTTTCTGTGTAATGTTGTTACAGACATACATTGCAACTCCTCCTCCCCTGCTGCCCTCACGATCCCGCCGATGCAGTGTATATCCAGGAAAATTTACAGATGGATCTGGAATATCAACATTTAACCAAGTCTCTGATACATTGTACGATTACAGCTACACTACAGCAAATAAAGGTCTTTTTGGTGGTTGATTGGTACAGCTTGGTTTTCCTCGCATCAGAATTCCTGAAATGATACCAAAGCACTTGTACATTGTATATAAGCAACAAACCATGACTCAGTTCCCTCTGATATAAGTAACTCACTCAGAATATGAAGCTAAATCTATTCAGGCGTCTGCGCTATATATAGTATGTGATTGTATAACTTGCTGAAGGTACATGCCTCCATAATACAAACCCGCTGCATATTCGGGTCAGGCTAGACATGTTGCTACTATAAAACTAATGAATCACAGCTCATTTGACATTTAGGTCTCAACCCATGACATGTATGAAAAATTACAGGCCATTTTCACGTAATTAGATGCAGCGCGGCACTCTGGGAGGAAAACACTGACAGAACGCCATTGAGGCAGTTTATAATGGATTACAGAGAGAGCTTCAGCGTTAAATGACAAGTAAAGCAGGATGGAAAACATCTGTAAAGAAACATTTAGTCAGGGGAATAAACCCACAACAATGGGGAATTGTATAATTGAAGCACATAATCAATATTCATTAGGTAATATGTGAAATTCCCATGCAAAGCCTATTGAAGGAGTCTCAGGAAATCATTCGATCTCTCAAAAGGTCTCCAGGTGGATAAACATGAACAATATGAGGCAGTAAACAGAAGGATCCATTCATTTCCATGCGAGTGATTATGAAGGATAGGCAGGAAAATTGCAGCCATGCAAGTAAACAGTGAGAGAAAGATGAGGTATAATTTCATAAGGTGACTATGAGAAAATGCAGGGAAAAAGGAGTTTAAAAAACATAGAAGGTGGATTAAAGCACTAACAAAACAAAAAACATGAACAAATATCACTATTTCCAGTTCTGTGTGACATTTGGATATATCTAAATAATTTATGGCAGACAAAATTACATTTATTACAGCCAGATGCTGCTGCAGAGGGCAGCCCTGATCAAGTGAAGGAGCGTCACCAACCTGCTGTCTGCGCCGGGTTGATTCCGATGCCATCTTCACAAAAAATAATCACAAAGAACATCAGCATCAGCATCGCAATGTGAATACATACACAAAACAATCATTCGTCAAGACAATCAATGAATTAGACAGATGGGCAAGAGCACAGAGAAACCCTTGACGTGCTGAAATGCTTAACTATCACAATTCAAACAATCTCATTTACAATAACTGTCCTGTGCTGTGAGTGGTGAGTTATATCTTCGCTCTGTTAATGATTTGTTTAATAATCACTCATGACGCAGCATAGCCCCTGTAGTCTCCCTCTATAACTATGTAATTACACAAATCAGTTCATTTTGTGTGAATTCATTAAGTGAAGGAATCAGCAGACGTTTTGTCTGATTCACAAAAAACAAACAGTTCCTAAAGAGTCAGTTGTTCGTAATTTGAGCAACTGTCGTTGTTATTTTTTAGTGCAGCTGACAAAGAACCCAACCCAATGAAGATGCTAAGGTGATGTGAGCATCTGCCAGGATGCTACTCTGTAGTTGCTAAGGTGTTCTGGTGGTTGTTGGGTGTTTTTTGTAAGTCTGGCTGCTTTGAAAAGTAACAGTGAAGTTAAATACTTTGGTTTAAAGAACTGGTTATCAACAAGGTGGCTGGAGCCCACTAGGGGGCATCAGCAAACTTCCAAGGGGGCCCCAAGATCACTAAAATTTATTTAAAATAAGACAGAAAAAACATTAAAATAGAATAAAACTAAAAATCAAGATATTTCTAATTTTTAACCACAGTTTTTTTTCCCTTCTTTGAATAAAAGTTTCCAAGGTTTGGGAAAACCTGATTATTTTAGTTTAATTAGTCAAAAAAAGGTGAGAACTACTGGTTTAAGGATTTGATCAAATATGAGCATAATAATATTAATATCAACAACTTACCATTTGTAATTATGGCACTGGTGGCTGCTGGCACTTTAAACTTTAAAAGGAAAAAAGAAAACATGCTTTATTGTTCAATCCATCAAAAACTTATACTGACAGCCAAATACGTCCCATAAACAGCCCAACACAGTCTCTCTGTCAGGCAAGGATAAGAAAAAATCAACTCGAGTCTGTGTTTGCGTCAGGTGATTTAAAGAGTCTGTCCTAGAGAACAGCAGCCTTCAAACGTGTGAAGAAAGAGCTCTCTGGGCTGAGCATAGAAGAAAACTGTGTCACAAAGAGCCACTTTTTGGGGAAAAAAAGGCAAATTCGTTCTGAAGGGGCTTTGAAAAACTCGCCGGGTGACCTGAAGGCATTTCTACACCCTTGAACAGCATAAAACTAACTTTAGGGGAGCAAGAAGCCAGGCTAGCACCAGAATTAGTGACTAGAATTAGCAAAATCAAGTATGTAACCGTTTCTGTTTCGAAAATACATATATAATTCATGGATTACAGTTTTTTGTAGGAGTTTATTCAGTTTCTAATTCTCCTTTGCCTACTTTTTGTCAGTCTGTTTTGTCAGGAGAAAAAGAGACAACAAAAACCATGAAAGATCACATAACCATAACCTGAAGCGGGAATACAAAAATTATTTTTGAGAGGGTGGAAAAAAGCTGAAAATAAGCCAGTGCATTTTTTAAAAGGCACTTTATCATTCTTTCTGGCTTCCACTTGATGCATTATATCTTCCTATTATGAGGTTGTCAGATTTGGCATTTCATTATGTCAAAAAGGAGCAACGACCCAAGCTAATCTGCAACATTACCCTGTCATGCCGTATGGTTGCGTGCCTTGAATACAGCTGTGAAACAGACATAGACAGCCCACAGGAAATCAAGACGGTTCTGTCAAATTTGACCCTAATTTCAAAAGATTTATGGCTAATCACGAGGGAAATCATATCATTGAAAATATCGATATCAGCCATTATTTGTGTTTTTTCATTATGGTATCAGCTTGATAATATTAGGCCTTACATGTTCTAGTTTCAAAAGTCAAGTAGTCGACTAAATAGGTTTTTCAATGGCCAACACTGATACAGCAAAATAGAAAAAAGCAAATATATTGTATATATCTAAATATAATGTAATTGGCTGCAACTGAGATGTACACAAAATTGCTGAAATATAACAAATACTTTTACACAATATTTACTCAAAATTCACCTAACAAAATGAAAACAACGCTTACAATCTGAATTGAATGGTAATAATGAATAGTAAAAAAAAAAAAAAAAAAAAATCAAACTTATATGGGCACTTAAGTGTTACAATATATATCATAATATTAAATCATATCAGGAAAAAAAAACAATATTAGTCTCTCTTAAATGTGTATGCCATTTTTTTTAAACAATATAAATTTATAAAATCAAGTTTTACTGTTTACTGTGCAATTACTGTTGCATTCCCATAAATCAAATTCTTGTAGTCAAAGTAACATTGGCCCTAGAGTTTGACTGGGATGCTAGCCAACTGTATTATCTGATTCTGCATTGATCCTGTTCTGATTTTAACACAAGAGGCTGCAGACACAGAGATAAGTCTGAATATGTTTCAAAAGAGCTCAGAGAGACTCAAAATAGACACGCTACTATTGCTATAGGATATAATTGAGCTAAAGCAGGGTTTCTGCATGATTTTTAAGCTCAAATTTAAGACCTTTGCCAGTAGGTGGCAGCAAGTCACTGTTAATAAGTGAGTCATTGCGATTGAACCAATCATTTAAACGGTTGATACATTCATGAACGAAAAACCGTCATGTTGCTCAGAGATGCAAAACAGCGCTGTGGCTTTGTTTGGAATTATTTCTGTTGGAGAAATAGAGCAAAAACAGGAAATATGCAAGTTTTAAAAAAAGATTTTTTTTTAAAGTTTTATAAAATGATAAACTTTAAATTTCAGCCTTTAAACCATTCTAAGAAAATAGATGAGTCAAAAGTATTAATTATTATATTAATTTAAACTATTATCAATAAATTATATCAATTAAATAACATAAATTAGGGGTGTGCGATATTGACAAAAAATTATATCTCAATTTTCTGGGATTTTATCAATAACGATAATTAGACAATATTTTGCTGAGCCTGTTATTGTGTTGATATCTTAAGGACTATCGTGATATAAATATATGCATTTTTTGCCCCATATCTTGAATTATATAATTCTAAATGCATTTTAATAGACTAATTCATGCAGTGAAAGAACGCACTATAAATACACGCGCACTAGTCTAACCTGCTAGACTTCATCGCGCACTCTGTAGGTGTTTTGTTTGCTTTTCGCGATATACTCGATAATATCAAATTGCACATCATTAAAACAACAATTACGATATTATCGCAGACCATGCATATCGTACACCCCTATTAGATTTTTATAATGCATTGTCTTCTTATCGATCTACCAGTTCACATTTAAAGCTCTGCGTGTTTGCAGGGTAAAAACATGGGTCAATTTTTGCATCTGTCTGAACTCTGAACAAAACAACAGTTTTATTGAAAATGTATTGAAAAAATCATCCATTCTCTGACAGCAGGTGGAGCGTTTGGTAGAAATATAACTGTTTCCCCGGTAACTGCTGTACACAAAGCAGCACCGGACTTTGAACCTGCAGCGCTCATGTTTATATCATGAAATCATAGCCTTTTGAAGTTTAATCATCACATTCAGCCAAATCGCAATTCTGGTCTTTCCGTCCCCAAATTTAAGACCTCTTGAAATCATAATTAAGACTTTCTTGTACAATTTAAGACTTTTTAAGGCCTTAAATTTAATAACTAAATTTAAGACTTTAAGACCCACGGAAACCCTGTAAAGTTCACGTCATGATCTTTGCTATGATCCATGTCAGTTTAATCAATGATTGCATAGAAATAAGCAAATCTGACAGAGAGTCAGTAATACTCCAACAACAGTAGAGAATTTGTCATGATATTTTTTTAAACTATCGTCAGTCAGAAGCAAATGCATAGTCCTACATTTCAGCAGATCTCTCAAAAATAAATTTTCAAAAGAGGTTGCAATAAGACTGTGAACTCATTAAAAACAGAAGATGAATCAACTCACCTCTTCCGCTGCAAACTTCAAAACGGCCGTGAACGGCGTGCTCTCAGGTACACTTAATCTGAAATACAATTATGCCAATGAATCTTGGTGCAACAGTAACACACACACACACACACACACAATGAGAACCACCCTGTGTAGAAAGCATTAGTGAATGTGCCTTGTCAAGAAACAAAGCTCAAAAGATCTTACTGTCTAATTCTGTTTTACACCAGATCACATTTAATCCCATGTCACAACAATGATCATAAATTAGGTTTTCATTTATAAATCTCTAAAAATGTTACTGACTGGTGTTTTAGTGCATTTCCTGCAAATATGGAAAAAATAAAGGGTCTCAGTTAAATATGTGCAATGTCACATGGTTAGTGCAAATTGTCACATAACCAGGGCAATTTACTTCCTGTTTGCACTATGAGATGATGATGGCTGCATCAAAGCTCCAAAACAAAACGTCAGTAAAGTATGTTAACATAAAGATATGACAAAGACTTTTGGTACACATTATCTTTAAGGAGTTTAGTATTAATATATGTATTTACAATTATTCAGTTTTATTGTGTGTGATTATAGAATGAGCAAACATGTTGACGGCAACAATAGTGACCGATGGGATAATTAATTTTTTTTGTCTTTTATCTCAGTATACCTGTCAGTGTTGTATAAGGGTTTTTATGTATAATAGTAATCCTAGAATGTGATGAAACAGAGTTTAAAATGTGTTAATAGCTGAGCTGAGATATATGAGAACTTTGATGACTGCAGAAATATATTAATATTTCAGCCACTCAATGAGATCAAAGATATTTGCAAAAACTTGGCATGTTAAAAATCATCCAAAATAACCGGTGACCATAAGCATTGCAGTGCTCTGACTTGAGCTGGTAAATCAGCCTGTTTGAATGGCCCTTGATAGACCACTCTCACCCACACAGAATGTGTCTGCCCACCCATCAGACACAGTATGACATCCATAGATTACCACTGACCACAGAACTATTACAGTGATTGTAATCAATATGGCAGACAGATGAAGAACACTGTTTTTTTTCGCCCCCATGCACTGGTCAATTTTTAGGTTTTTGGCTATTTTTCTTCAACAACATGTTATGCTTCTTTCAGACTAGGAGAAAGAAAATGTACAGTTTATTTTACAACAGTTGATCTATTTGCATCTGTAGATTTCAATTGCAATACACTAAAAGATTACATTCTCTCGCGCGAACTCATTCGGGAGTGGTGACTTTCCACGTATTCCCAACTTCTGCGCCTGCTCGCCTCAAGTTATGGTTGATTGCTCTTCGGCTGGATATCAGCACACCCATTAACGTAAACTACGCCAGAGCGTACACACCTCACGCACCGGATGCCATGCGCGCACCCAAAGACAGTTGGACATAGTGGTGTATTAGAGGTCAAAAATTATATAAATATACCATTGCCATGCATTATACGACTGATAGACTGCAACGGCTGGACTTAAAAATCATAATTTGTGTTCTACTGAAGAAACAAAGTCACCTACATCTTGGATGCCCTGGGGGTAAGCAGATAAACATCAAATTTTCATTTTTGGGTGAACTATTCCTTTAAAGACTGTTTCCTCAAAATGAGTTTTTTTTCTCATGCACTGAGCCAGAAATCTCCACTTCAACTTCAGTAGCACTAACATACACCACATGTTGCAGTTTCATCGCTATCTATGTTCTGATGGTTTTGACAGGTGGGTTTGTCCATTTATCAATCACCTGATTTAATTGTGGATAATGACTAATCTGCATATTTAATATTTACATTTTAGAAAACGTGTAATACAAAACAAATGTGTCCATGTACTATTATTAATCAACATGGGGAAGTATGGTGATATCTAGTAGTTAAAATGTTTCACCTATTTTATCTAGAACCGTCTTATATTTCTCAGCTGACAGCTGTGCTAAAACTAAAAACACTAAAATACCCCCCAAAAAACTAATACTAGGAGTATACCCCTAAAACCCAGTCAGGCCATTATCTTATTAATTACTTAATTAACAGAGAAATGAATGAATGAAATCAAGAGGGGGGGGGGAACTATTTAACTCTTCGAGCTAAAGTGCTAGGGCACATATTAATAAATGTTCTTATCAGAATCAATAAAATCAACCAAATTAAGGCTAATACAACCGTTAAAACATGAATATTAATATTTAATGTGTGTCATTTATTGAATGATGTGTCACTCACACTTTATATGGTAACCGAGGGTCCGACGTCAGCGTGATTTTAAACGTTACTTTCGACCTAATGCAGACAAAGACACATATTCATGGAGTTAATTAAAAATAAGATACATTATGTCACTAAAACAAAGTGCTGTTATATTATAAATGGTTTACTTACATTTTACTGACTTGTATGACAGGACCGCACACTATTTACACCGACCCGGAAGAAGCAAGGACCCGGCCGCTGTAACACGTCATCTGTTCGATGGACCTCTCTTTTCCGTCGTTCTTTATTTTCCCCCCTTTTTAATCTTATAATGTTACACTTAATCGATTCGATCATATTTGTGTATTTTAGAGAATTAAAAAAAAATATGATGAGCAGATAAAACAGAAAATGTTGCGGCTTGTGCATTTCAGTCAGGCACGTTTCAAGCTGACCCGGAGTGGGTATTACGGTATTACCGTAAAGCTGAGCGTTTAAGAGCGTTTAAAAATGAAGGGAAACAGTTATGAATTGAATATACAAAGGCTCGAAAAGTAATTTTACCCTTGAGGCATACTTAAATTGTGTAAATATTTATTCCATTGCTTTAAAAACTATTAAAAAAGTGGTAGGCTTATCTGCAAACAAATTATGCCATTCTATAGCCTAACAAAATTGCCTTTAACTGACTGGTCTAAATGTCATGTATAATGCATATGAAATCATTTCCTTTTGTCATTTGAAACTTAACATATTTTTGTGAAATGTTTTGAGTTAAAATGTGCTTGTGTTACAGGTTATTTAAATATTAAATTATTCCTACAAATAGGAAACAAAATTTTGCGTTTTTTCAATGAATGGTCAGATTTTGATAGTTGGAGAGAAAAAATATAGTCAACACTATTTTATTGTTAAAGTTATTTTATTTATTTATATTCTGTTCCTTTTTAAGAACATGATATGTTGGACATTGAACATTTGATGTGATTAAAACTTGATTACTTGCACTTATATATTGTTGCTCTTTTGTTAGTTTTGACTGCTTTTATTGTCCTCATTTGTAAGTCGCTTTGGATAAAAGCGTCTGCTAAATGACTAAATGTAAATGTAAATATATTACAATTGTTTTTTAGATAATAATTGACCAAACATGTCTAATAGGTCTCATGGCAAAATCAGTGTTGTTTGATCCAATTTGTGCTTTTAGATAAACGTTTGGAATTAAGAATACTTTTTAAAGACAGTGTATCTTTAAATTAAACTGAATTATATGAGGTCTATGAACCCTGTTTTAAAATACTGTAATTACCATCTTGTTGTTCAAAGACTTTGACTTAACATCATTTATAAATAAAGAGGTACTGGAATAGAAGCACAAAGCAATAATTTTAAACATTTGCATTCATTTTGTTCACACCAGTAGTCAGTCACCGCTTTTTTTTTTCTTATCCATTTTTGTTATGAAAGTTAATTCACAGCTACTCTGGGAGGCATAGTGTTGTATTTCACTCTTTAAAAAAAACGGCATTATTTCTTGGCAGAAGTTCAGAGGATTCAGTAAGCATATTAATTCTTTTTTTTTTCATATCTCCAATGCAGACGGCTGAACCAATGAGCCACAGGTTCAAAATAAGCTAGAATACCCAGGATCAACACAGATGGAAATAGGCCTGCGTGTTATACTCACAAAAAGCCCACTTAGGCCCAATTAGGAATCGGGGGTGGACTGGTGTTGGAACAACTGATTAATCATATTTTAAATACACATTTGCCATAATCAAGTTTCGCCCAGAGGTGTATTTTCTGGCTGGTCTCAGAGTGAAGCTTATAAAGCGCTGGTGGCTGCTGGATTTAAGGAGGGCTGTAAGCTAACTTGAGTCTCATGAGTCATCCTCATAAAGCCAACCCTGCTTGCTGGCACCGCAGGGCACACTGCCAGCAGCTTTCCTAGAGGGACATGTGGGTGTTGAAGAAAACATACTTCTCAGTGTGACTCGAAACCCAAATCCACTAGACGCTGACAGTTTTGAGTCCATTATGCTTTTGTCACAGGCTTATTGAAACCACTTAGATAAAGTGGAAAAGTTGTTCTTCTGAATACAAACCAGAGAATAGCTCCTCTATGGCGTTAATGACACTGAATAAAGTTGTTTTGTATCAAATGCAAGCTACTGAGATTGCTAAGAATCTGCAAATCTTTTATTTCCAAATCGTGCCCAGAGGCAGGAGCCATGACACCTTCAAAACACAAACATTCAATTATGGACACTATAAGACTACTAACACTATAATATAAGCCTTCAGCAGACATGTACACAGAAAAACCTTTGAACAAAAGCCTGTTCCTTTCTTTGACAAACATCTCCTGAAGGAATTTCCTGACTCTGTCGTCTAAATCCAAATCATGTCCCGTGCTGAAGCCCGTAGTGAGTCATTTGTGGCGACAAGCAGCTGTGCGGTTCCCGTGGTGATGAGGATGAGACACAAAAATCATCGCTTATACTGTCAGATTAACTTTTTTGTTGAGAAAATCTAACGAATAATTCAGATGTGGCAACTGAAGACAAATAATAGATGTGGTGAATACTTTAAACAACGTGAAATTATATCAGGATTATTTGCATTTTAGGAGCCAGAACTGTTAAAAGAAATGCAAATAGCTACTTATTTATTCAATTTTAATATATCTTTTTAATGTATCTTTTGATGTGTTGTTTTTTAACACATTTTAGTGTAGAAAATGTCATATTTATTGACTGGTTACTTACAAAATATGATGCAACAATGTATTCTACAAAAAGGATTTGCACGGACTTATGTCAGTCATTAAGGGTTGTGAATAATATAACAATATAATATAATATAATATAATAAATGATAATTATGACGATACAGATGTCTTTACATCTACAAAAGATATTCAACAAGAAATATTAGAAATAATACACTATTTTGATTTAAGTTTACAAAGACAAGCATTTTTTTGCTGTCCATGGTGCTGAAAACAGAACTGTATAATCTAAAGCAAAAGACCTGAAGAACTTGTGTCAATATTATAAAAGCAATGCAACCTTACAGGAAAAATATAGAGAAACCAGTTCACCCCAAGCAGGGACTGTTCAGGTTTTTAGTATCCTTAATCCTTTTTTTTTTTTTTTACAATCATTCATTTGATTTCAACAAATGAACAAAAGTGAGATATCCAAGCAGTAAAATTTGTAATATGTGATTTAAAATGAGTCATATTTTTGGAGGATGAGGAATCTTTGTTTGCTTTGTTTATAAAAATAAAACCTTTCACACCTACACGTTTGGTCCTTCTGTACCGTGATTTCATAGCCATTTTCATACCTATTTCCTTTTTCATTGTCTTGAGTGTGACACTTCACCTGGGCTATAAATGACACACAGAGTCAGTTTGTGGTTCCTTAGGGCTCGACAGCAGAATCTGGATCACTATTTCAGGCAGAACTGGGTTGTTTTCAGGAGGAAGGAGGATTTGGACAGGCTTAGAACATCTGCTGGCTCTTGATAAGGGCAAAGGATTGTGGCTTCCTCAGTGCAGTGGAACAGACATGCATTAAGGAGGCCCCGGACTGCCCTCAGGGATATGAGCTCCTAAATTTCTCTACTTGCTCTTGTGCACAACGTTTCTTGTCTGTCCTTGATAAAACAACAACATACAGTGCACGTCTGTAGTGTTATGGAATTCAGTAGTGCAGTTGTAAAGCTTAAATAACAGCATTAAAACTGAAAACTGAATAATGGAAAATGGTGGCCAGGTCAAAACCAACATTTGTCTTTTTCACATCTAAATGATTTTTTTTCTGACTGTGCTATTATTAGTTCATTCAGGCCCTACTATCTAATATTTAGATGTATTTTGGCTGTATTTGAAAGGCGAAATAGTTATTTCAAAAGGTTAAATGTTTCATTTAAGCCTGGAGGAGAGACAAATGGCTCAAAAACTGATCCATTTGAACATTTAAAAAAAACTTGACACTTTTTTCAGTGACTGTGACTGTTCAGTGATTGTTTTTAGTGAGTCATTGACTGATTCAACAGATTTGTTAAAAAACGATTCATTCAAGAACGATACAAGTGAGTGTCTACATGAATGAATCATTGAATAATTTACTAAGTCAATTCAAACACACTGATTCATTAAGGAACGAAATACCACTACTCTGAGTTTCCTTGGTTAAATTAGCGTTCACAGTTGTTCAGTGGAACCTTTTCGCAGACTGTAATAATGTATTTCCATGGTTATATTCATTTTTAAAAATTTTAAAATGTTAATGTATATTTATAATTTATAGTATACTTTGTTTATATATATAGTATACTTTGTTTATATATGTTGTATACTTTGTTTTTATTACCTTGGTGCTTAATTACATAAAAATTAGGGGAGACCGGGGGCAATTGTTTTTTACATTTTCCTTCATAACTCGCAGACTACTTGAAATACACTAGTCATCTTTTGATATAAGAAACTAATATAGGTGCAGTAATTAATAATACAATTGATATATTTTCACCAATAAGGACAAGACTATAATATTAAATTAAATGCAAGAAGTTAGAGCATTACAATTGCCCACTTGGTGGGGGCGACTGTAACAGTGTTTGGGGGCAATATTGTAACACTGGAAAATAAATCATATCAGAATCATAATCAGAAAGAACTTTTTTGCCATATATGTTTACACATACAAGGAATTTGTTTTGGTGACAGAAGCTTCCACAGCACAAACAGAATGACAGTGACAAGACAAGACACAGATAATAAAAAGAATAAAAATAGGATAAGTAAATAGGAAATAATATACAAAAATATATACAAAGTAGACAATAGATGGTATTTGTGTGTACAAGTGTGTTATGCCTGGCCATTCTGGTGCTCAGTGCTCTTTTGCGCGGATCAGACGGCTACAGTTCTAAGAGGAAGCGAGCTGGGTGTGAGGGGTCCATAATGATTTTGCCAGCTCTTTTACTCACTCTGGATGAGTGCAGTTCTTGGTGAGTGGGGAGGGTTGTACCAGTGATTCGCTCAGCAGTCCAGACTATCATCTGCAATCATCTAAGGTCTGATTTGGTAGCTGAGCTGAACCAGACAGTTATAGAGGTGCAGAGGATGGATTTAAAGACTGCAGAGTAGAGCTGTATCAGCAGCTCCAGTGGCAGGTTGAACTTCCTCAGCTGGTGATGGAAGTACAGCCTCAGCTGGGCCTCAGTCTATGTGGAACTCCCACTTCAGGTCCTAAGATGCCCAGGAACTTGAATGAGTC